TCTACTCCCAGGTACGTATACTTGTCTACTACCGGTAGTTCTTCCTCCCCCCATTTCCATTTGAATTCTACGGGATTTTTCTTATCTTTATTACAGATCACTACTGCGCATTTTCCTACGTTCGCCGACAGTCTCCATTTTCGGGTGTATCCTACCGCCGCATCTATTTGTTCTTGCAACCCTTCTGGTGTTTCGGATACCCCCACGAAATCATCTGCAAACATCAGTCCGGACACACTCTTTCCCTCTACATGGACTCCCTGTCTTACTGCTTCAACCGCCCTTATCAAATCGTTGATGTAAATGACGGGGGGGGGGCGAACACTGTCAACCCTTAAATCTATCAAGACCGAACCCGATAATGACAGGCGTGTTCCGATTTCCGTTTTTTGAGCTCCCCGAAAACAAGGTTCCGAACCTTACGAACGTTCTCGCTCCACGAGCAACTAATTCTGCTGCTTTGTATTCGCACCTCCATGCTTCTGTGGGGGTGGAACAAGTACGGGAACCCTGGAGTTCCCGGGTTGATGCTGATCCCGCGTACCCGGAACCCGCTCGCCAGCGTAGCGCGCAGCCAACCCGGCGCGGGGTAAAACCTCGGGAGCATACGCCTTTTGCGAGGGGTGGGGGCGGCGGGGGTGATAGTTACCGTATGGGAAGGGGGAGGCAAGGGATGGGGGTGAAAGGTACGGTTAGTGGATGGGGGGCAACGAGACGAAAGCGATGCAAGACAAGCGCAGACAGGCAGAAGTGACACCACCTCTGCTGACCCCATATCTGGACGGTGATTTATTTGCTGACGCGGTGACGCCACCTCTGCTCTGATGTAAGATCCCCTCTCTTTTATTGATTCAGAGAGAGAACTGAAATATTTTGAAACCGTGCGGCCCGCAGAAGATGTGTCTCACACATGTGTTAACGCCCGCCGCGTAACTAACCTCCCAAACCTCTCTCCCGGTATATTAAAATTGTCCCGGAAAACTTGTGTTGTGAGCTATTGGGGGTTTCGAACGTCCTGGAGATGGAGGCAGTTGATAGCAAATGGAGTGGCACCTTGTGCACTTGACTACCCGACGCGTAGCGGAAAATTCGGCGATAGATAGATGCCACCCACATGGGATGCAAAAAACGCCATTGGCGAAAAGGAAAAATACTTCCCACGAGGCGGCCGTCCGGTGGACAGCCCCGGGCTAGGTCAAATGCTATTACAGGATGGGAGCCACACGCACGCACGTGGTGATAGACAGCAGTTCTTGATGCGATTGGAAGACGCTGGCGAGCCGTTCAGCACTAGACAACACGGGCGAGGTGGAACATGAAAACGCAAACGCCGCATCAACGACGCACACCACTTCTCAACAGAACCCATTCGCCACTCCTCCCCCCCTTCGCCCTTCTCTCTCCCTCTCCACTTGTCTCCACCATTAGTCCGCGCTCACCAGTCCTCAGGGATCTCGTACGCCACGAGCGAGCCCCCCGCGCCGCCGCTCCCCCGCCCCTCCTCCCGACGCTGCCACCGCCGCTCCTTAGGCCCCCCGGCCACCACCCCTCCCCATCTACCGGCCCCCCACCTTGACGTCCCCTCCGGCGGAACCTTAAACGCCGCCTTCTCCGCCTCAATGCCGGCAGGATCGGGCTCGACGCCGGCATGACGCGAGCCGGCGGCCGCGGAAGCGGCCGCGGCCGCGGCGGCGGCAGGGTTAAAGTTAGCATTGGAGGAGGAGCCGCCCCCACCGTTCCCGCCGATGCCGCCGGCGGCGGCGAAGAGGGAGTAGGTGTTGTACGAGGACTCGTGAACGGTCACCAGGAAGTGGGTTGGGCGGCCGCCTGGTGATCCCCCACTGGTTGTTTCGTGGGGCAACGCGAGTTGGAGTCGGAGTCGGTGATGATGATGCAGGTAATGCAGTAGCGGCTAAATTTACGTTTTGCGGGAGAATATATTGCTACGTTCGAAAGGGCGATCAATATTTGGGAAAGAAAGTACAGAATGAGGAGATCCGAGAGCGGCTTGTCCATGCTGCGAGAAAAGCAAATATAAAAACCGGATTGAACAGCGTGTTTCCGGCTTGTCTCGAGCCTCTCTTAAACCGAAGCCACTACTGCAATATCATACTTATTTCATGTTCCACTATTTAGTGGAGCCGCGAACACGCTGTGGACCATTCCTACACTAGGAATGGTCCACA